ACTATTCATTGTCTCGAAAAGGCTCACAGATTAAATTAGCCCTGGCTATAAAGTAACAAAGATGACAAGTGGCGATCTCCTTCTAGAAGTTCGTGACAAGACCCAGTACGACAAGCTCTCGAAACTCGTAGCTTTTGGTAACATCAATGGGCCCACATAGGCCACAGCGCGTGATGTCACATCTAATGATGACCTCCTCGAGCTATCTGGAAGTGAATCGCTTAAAGGATGGCAGAAACAGAATGTAGTAAAAATATAAAAAATAACAAGTCGAGATAATAAACAGATCCCAACAAAGCACATCATAATTACAAGCAACTTCCCCGACTCCATTGAAACCGGTTACACTAAGCCTCATAGCAGACCTTATGTACCAGATCCTCACCGTTGTGTCAAGTGTCAGTGCTTTGGACACGGATCCAAAACAAGCAGAGGATGCGCTAGGTTCGCGAAGTGCGCATCTTGTGAACAGGCATCTGATGCCTGCTTTTCAGAGACCTGTTGCGCTAACTGTGAAGGAGATCATGCAGCCTGCTCCCGATCATGCCCTGCATAGAAAAGAAAGAAACAAATATTAGAACTTAAGGTCATATTCAACTTATCATTCCAAGAGGCACAACAACGGTTTTCTGCACAAAATCATTCTGATCCTTCCTTTGCCGACGTGGCACGCCAGGGCGCCATGCCATGTTTTTCAGTACTTGCGAGATTCACACCAAGTGTGACCGCGGTTGTGCCAGCAACGCCTCTGGCTGGAGCAGCCTGTACTGCTCCGCCTCCTGCTCAAAAGGGCTAGCGGACTTCAGAGTTTGTTGCACCTTGTGCAGTCAGGTCCGAAACCGCCATGAACGTGCCTGTCAAGCGGGCACCATTCGCCTCCTCAGAAGAGGTGATAGATACGAGCCATACTCCTCCAGCACCTCAGACAACAAAGGAAAGGCGCAGCTCTTAGGAGCGAAAGAAGAGAAACCCCGCATTACAGGGCCGCCAAAGGCCCTGTAACTAATTTTGTACACACAGCACTTAACTACATTAAAAATAGAGACACAAATTTTACAGTAGAACGTCGGAGGACTCCTCAGAAACCTCGATGATGTTCAAGAACTTTTACATAAACATTCACTGAAAGTGCTGTGTGTAGAAGAAACATGCCTAAAAACCAAGAACGCCAATTTTCTATGCCAGCATATTATTTTTGGAAAGGACAGGGATGATGCCATCACGTCATCCGGTGGTGTTGCCATTATAGTCAATCAAGGGATTGCATGTACTTATCTACCACTCGAGACATCTCTTGAAGCAGTGGCTATTTGAGTAGTTCTTCTGAACAAACTTATCACCATCCGTTCGGTCTACATACCTCCAAACCATCATCTTGGAAAGCGTGAATTCCAGTCTGTAATAGATAAACTTTCAGAACCTTATGTTCTCCTTGGAGATTTCAATGCACATAGCAACCTATTGGGTGACTCTCGCTGCCATGCTCGAGGTCGCCTGATTGAACAGTTTCTTTTTACTTTTGGCACATGTCTTCTAAATCAGAAAGAGCCCACATATTACTGTCTTGCCAACAATATCTGCTTGTCAATAGACCTCATCATTGTCTCTTCATTCGTCTTTCCTTTACTGACATGAAAAGTCATCAATAATCCTCACGGAAGTGACCACTTTCTGGTAACGCTAAGCATACCAATATCAAAGAAAAATTGCCCGCAGCTCCCCAAATGGATCACTCACAGAGCTGATTGGGAACAGTTCTGGAAGATTACTCTTTTGAGTTGGACTGATCTATCTAGTTTAAGCATAGATGCAGCTGTGCAATACTTTTCAGCTTTTTTGACCGACGCTGTGATGAAATGCATCCGGCAAATATCTGGACTGCCTAGCAAGCGGCATGTCCCATTGTGGAACATTAAGTGTCGCAGTGCACGCAAACAACAAAACAAAGTGCGGAGGTTGCTTCGGGACTCGCCGACAGCCGAGAATCTTGAAAGCTCTAAGAAAAAAATTGGCCCCGCATTTGCATGTTTCTGCAAATGTCGTCGAAAGACGATAGTCTTGCGTGTGGAGAGAGTGAACAAGACATTTATTTGATGTTCTGCGCAAGAAAAATCAGTGAGTGGTATTCTGGAGGCACTGCGTTAGTGTCTTGAGTGTGCAGCGGAGGCGAACGAGCGCATCAAATCACGTCACATGTGAGACATGAACGTCATCTGGCAGTTTTTTAGAAAACAAAGCGCGTGGCTTTGAGACGGGTGTGCGTGCCCATCTCAGAGGTGATAAGGTGTAGAACACAAGGCGACGGGTAGGTGCCACTACTGTTTCCTCTTAGGAAAGCGTTGGAAACACTACCTGTTCCGTGCAAGTGTCGCACAGTCAGCGCAGTGTGATAAGCGCTACGGTCGTTAAAATACTTGTATTGTTTGTGGACGCCTTCATCCACAAACAATACATTCTTTCCGTGTTCCTCGATATCGAGAAGGCCTACAATACAACGAGGTGATTTGGAATATTAAGAGACCTGACCCATTTTGGTGTGCATGGCAGAATGTTTACTATTATCGAAAGGTACTTGTCCAATCGAGCATTCCGTGTCAGAGTGGGCAGCGTTCTTTCCTGAACATTTGTCCATGAAACAGGAGTACCGCAAGGCAGTCTACTTAGTTGTACTCTTTTTATTATCAAAATGAATTTTTTGCAATCTTTGCATCCCACAAAATATGTTTTACTGCACATATGTCGATGACGTTCAGCTTGAATTTAAGTCTTAATTTGTGACCTGGCAATATGTGTGCGGCAAGTTAAGCTTGGCTTGAACAAGGTCTCGAATTGGGCAGAGGAAAATGGATTCCAATTGAACCCCCAAAAAAAGCATGTGCGTCTTGTTCTCCAGAAAGAGCAGCACTCATACTGACCCTGACACTCATTTGCATGGTCAGCGTCTGTCTGTTAATGCCAAATACAAATTTTTAGGCCTAATCCTGGACACCGAGCTAACCTTCGTACCACACATCCAAGTATCTAAAAAATAAGTGTATCAGAGCCATGAATGTTTTAAAAGTGTCGCCACATACTATGTAGGGGAGTGACAAGAAGTCTCATGAGCTTATATAAAAGCCTCGTACGCACTCGTCTGAACTATAGAGCAATAACCTATCAGTCTGCGACACCTACCGCCTTAAAGATGCTTAACCCTATTCACCACCTAAGCATTTGTCTGTCTACAGGTGCCTGTCGCACCAGCCCTGTTGAAAGCCTGAACTTGGAATCATAACGAATGGTCACTCCACCTACAGGGATGTTACATGTCTTTTCTATATTATCTCAAAGTGAAGGTAGACAATGACCATCCTTCACATTGATTACATGTCCAGTTCTGTTCTGTTTGAAAATTGGCCATCTTTGAGACAACCCTATTCACTTCGTGTAAAGGGCCTTTTTGAGGAAACCGGTGTGTCACTCGAACATTGTTTGATGGCCCCCGCAGCATGTCTGCCACCATGGAAGTGGCAAACGATAGATTGCGATGTGTATTTTTTAAAGATCACAAAGCACGCACCCATTGTACATATCTGCACATACTTCCTAGAACTACAACAAAAGTATGCAGGCCCTGAGTTCTTTACAGATGCCTCAATGTCCAACACTTCTGTTTCATATGCAGCCATTGGCCCATCCTTCTCAGATACTGGTGTCCTGCATCCTGATGCAAGCATTTTCACAGGAGAAGCCTATGCAATACTTGCAGCTGTTAAACACACATATAAAACTACAAAAAAACGGTAATTTACACGGATTCTCTGAGTGTGGTGAAAGCCTTGAAAACACTTAAAAAGCGCAACAACCCAGTTCTTGAGTCCCTTTATTCACTCTTATGCACAGCATGTTGTAGTCTACTGGGTGCCGGGGCACTGTGAGATACAGGGTAACGTTTTGGCAGACCAGCTCGCTGCATCCGCCTACAACGATGCAGCTAATGCATCAGTACCAATCCCTGCACTTGACATGAAACCTTTTCTAAAACAAGAGCTCAGAGGTTATTGGCAAAACACGTGGGATAGACACATAAGTAATAAAAACTGCATGTTATTAAGCCACAACTTGGTTGTTGGCCGCCACTATCGAAATCACGACACACAGAACTAATACTTACAAGGCTATGAACAGGACATACATACTCTACACCAGTGGTTCTCAGCCATGTATGTGTGGGGGACCCCTTGTGGACTGGTGGAAGTGACGGGGGACCCCTTGCAGCGTACGGGGGGGGGGGGGGGGGGGGGGTATGTAAGTAAATTAGCGCAACTGGAGCGTGAAACAGGTGCCTTTTATTAGGCTTGTGTGAATTGTGAATTTTAGGTTGAAGCGAATAGTGATTTTGGTCGTATAATTTCGAATTGAATAGGAATAATATATATGACATAAAAGAAAAATGGCCATATTTATTATGACTTAACTAACCAGCACAATATATTTTTATATTGAAATAAGGCCTCTATGCAAATGTCTTTCTTTTTCGTTCACAGGAAGTCGAAACAACTTTGAGTAGTAGTGGGATAAGAGTTTTGGAAAGATGCGAGTGATAACCTGTAAAATAGGTAAAATAGGTAAATTTGCCCTGCCGGGGTGGTCCAGTGGCTAAGGTACTCGGCTGCTGACCCGCAGGTCGCGGTATCAAACCCTGGCGACGGCGGGTGCATTTTCGATGGAGGTGAAAATGCTGTAGGCCTGTGTGTTCAGATTTGGGTGCACGTTAAGAACCCCAGGTGGCCAAATTCCCGGAGTCCTCCACTACGGTGTCTCTCATAATCATATGGTGGTTTTGGGACGTCAAACCCCACATATCAATTTATTAATCAGCCTGTCTATTTCTTCCATTTATTGCTCTAAATTACCCATGAATCTGAACACCCAGATTTATTCAATGATAGGTCACATTTAAGGACCTATTTGTTCATCTTGTGCTTTCGAGTGCTTGATTTTGGACAAATTGTCTTCAGATAAAGGTGGGACAAATCTTTTCGGAAGTCTGCCTCAACATGTAACCAGCATGAAAGGAGAGCCGAGTCCTTCACTGTCAGTTGATCACAAGGATGCCACCAGCATAGCCCAAAATGGTGAGTCACATTGTGGTGAGCATGTAAATACAAGCTGCATATCTTGATAGGCGAAAATCTGTCCCAGTATGAATGCTTTTCCAGTAATTACCGTTAAGTGGTGCATGAGCAATCGCTACACGTAGCGTCCAATGCATCTTCAAATTTTGCAAGCTGCACCTGATCATTAATTCTGTTATCATCTGGGCAAGGGTAGGGTGCCTAAGTAAGGACTTCCTTGCTCGTTTTTATTTTATTTTTATTCATTCAACAGGATTATGCAAAGTTAGGCACTGCAACGTAGAAGATTCAGAACGAGTTGGTTAATTTGTGCCCTGTGTATTTATTATTGTGCTTGCTTCCACTGTAAGCTATCAATTCTACTGTGTGACACATTGCATGCATGTTGTTAGCAGCCACAGCCACTCAAAAAGCATCTGCCAGTGGCCTTATTGATCAAGAGGATTACAGTGATTTGTGGACATCTACGCCAACAAGGGTGAGTTGGACCTATTTTCACTAGTGCTTTCGAAGCTGCCAAATTCTGTTATGATGAACAGTCTCTGTAGGATCTTTTCTTTTTGGGGTGAAGCAGTGCAGGCATTGAGACAAAGAAATGACAGGACACAGGGCTAACTACCAACTGATTTGCTTATTGGAAAGGCAGAGAATCTATAGGGAGGTGAGCAAATAAAGAAAGATGGTACAAAGTGGTCACGTGACTATTGATTTGGATATGGGTTTACAAGATGTGGCAAATGCAGATTCCCTGAATACAAGCGAAAAATGGCAAAAAAAAAACAATGACATGGTGGTCTGTACAAAACTGATTAAGATAGCCAAAACTGGAGATTCATAAATAAAACAAAAAACAAGGACCAGGGTCTAACAGAAAAAGGTTTGTAAGCAAGTGACAGCAGGGCTAGAGAACTGCAACCGCGACCAATAAGCAGAAAATAAAAAAACGAGGAAACAAAACCATGTGACAGTCAGCCTGGTCAGAATTGAGTCTTGCGGTATCTAATTGTTTTATGAAAAAGTATAGGTGATGGTTAGGTGATGGGGTGTGCTGACACAAGCTGCTCCCCTTTTGTGAATTATGTGTGTCTCACAAATTTTCCATGCACATGCGCTCCCAAACATACGCATTCCGTTAGAAAAGTATCTGACCTTATTTTTTTTTATGAGCACTTGATGAATTTGAAACAAGCATGCTTGCATCAGCCAACCTTGAACCTTCGTGCACATGCGGGAATTTTTCCCAACCTGCCAATAGCGTCAGTCGCTGCAATGCAGCATTTGAGTGGGGTAGTGCGCAGTGTTCTCGTCGGCTTTTCATTGTAAGGAAAATGATGGAGCAACTGGAGGAGCGCTACTGCATCAAATTTTGCCAGAAATTGGGTGTCAGCCTAGTGGAAACCATTCAGAAGATCAAGGCAGCTTTCAGCAATGATGCAATGAGCTGCACACAGATTAAGGAAGGTACGACTGGTTTAAAGACGGCCGCACATCGGTGGAGAGCGAGCCACGCTTCGGTAGGTAATAAATATGGTGAAATGAATAGGTCATTGTCGAAGTGAACACTGTGGTGACGTAGTACCGTCGTGTGACTATCTAGAAAATTGCAGTGGAGGTGGGCATTAGCACTTTCTCTGCACATTCCTTTATGATCGAAGTTTTGGTCATGAAGAGAGTTGCAGCAAAAGCAACTTCGTGTTGAAGTCTCACAGGACATGCTGGATTTCACAAGCAGTGACCCTATGAACGCCGTTATCACGTGACGAGTTTGGGGTGTATAGTTACGACCTGGAAGCCAAATCCCAGTCGTCACAGTGGAAGCATTCCGCGTCACCAAAACCAAAGATGGCCCACCAAGTGTGCAGCAACATCAAAGTGATGCTGAGTGATTTCTTTGACTTCCGTGGTGTGGTACACAATGAGTATGCACCACAAGGTCAAACAATCGCCAAAGAGTACTACAGGGATGTCCTCAGTCGCTTTCATGATGCTGTGCGGCGCAAAAGACCCGAGTTGTGGTCTAAAAGAAATTGGCACATCTATCACGACAATGCTCCTGCACATTCCTCACGCTTGGTTCAGACTTTCCTGGCGAAAAGTCAGGCTCCTGTAGTTAAACAGGCTCCTTACTCTCCTGATATTGCCCCCTGCGACTTATAGCTGTTTTCCAAACTCAAGAGAACATTAAAAGGAAAGTGATTTCAGACAAGAGAGGACATTATGGCTGCAATGACAGCTGAGCTCAACTATATTCTGAAAGAGATCTTGTCAGAATGCTTCCAACAATGGCAGCACCGATGGGAAAAGTGTGAAGTCCCAAGAGGGCTACTTTTAGGGGGATTAGGTTTCCAACATTCTGATCATGCCAGTTTTTTTTTTTCTTCCACCAAAGGTCGCATACTTTTCTAACAGACCTTGTAAATAATATCCTCTGCAAGTATTATTCAATATTATCAATTCTGAGCATCATAGAAAGGCATTTTTTAAAGTTTCAAAGGTCATGTATCACCGCAATAGCAATTTTAGGACATGTTATTGCTTGCTAAACTAAACCCTCATTCTCCTGCCCACAAAACACTGTATTCTAATTCAAGATGTAAGAGAAAGATGACAAGTTGGGTCAGTCGATTTACATTCATGTTTGAACATTTCATTGAAGCGCACCGAAAAACACAAGTTGGAAGACAGGACAGCGCTTACTGTCTAGCATTGTTCTGTCAGCTTCTTCTAGCATGTTTTTTGGTACACTCCAATGAAATGTTCAGACGTGAAGATGTGAGACTTGCGAACGCCTTCAAGATGACATAATAGTTAAAAATGCCAGATGTGAATATTTACATCATATAAAATCCAGTTTGACTTTTACTAGTTCAAGAGTTCTCTACGTGATCGAATGTTCATATTGTCACGAACGGTTCATTGATGAAATGGAAGAGCCTGTTAATGTTAAACTAAATGGGAATCTAGTGGATGTTGCAAAAAGATCACCGAAAGCAGTGACTAAGCATTTTAGTGTAGCAGGTCCCAACTTTGTTAACCTCGAACTCTACATACACATTCCAGTCAGACTTCTCAGAAAATATGCCAAGCCATACCTTATTCACGAGTACTCCAGTCAGGTGGTTTAAATGCTTTAAAAGGGGCTTTTGAGTCCGTACGATATGGTGCATACCCATGGAAACTGATAAGTGTGAACCCTTCTTCTCGAAGTTGCCTACAGTACCATTGTCAAATGGTCGTCTCTTTTGACAGCCATAGTTGAGCGACACCTCTTTTTTCTCCATGGAATACCTTCTCACTCACCCAATTGACCACAGCAGCTTCTCATTGTCCCCCACCCTCCTTCTTTGTTGAGCTCAAAGGGGAGGAAGCGCCAAGGAAATCGGTGGCGGTGAAAAAGTATACTTGTTAAAACGTTGCCGCCCTCCACCCTCTGTTCTCCTTCTGACCTTTTTCTACTGAAGCAGCTGTCGCTGCCCATTTGCTTTTACATTTTATTGTTCAGAGCCCAGAATCGCTTTGCTCGATTATGGAAAGTCCTCTAACAAGCAGCCATTTTTTGCTCCAAAACTATCATCATGGTCATGTATCTGCATGTGCTATTTGTCTTCTCCTTCAAAACACCAGTGTCGATTTGCCCGGCATATTTGCCCCGAAATCGGGCTATAGGCGACTGATGGCCTGCATACAAACGTACGCAGCGGCACTTTTTTGTGGGCAGTGTGAGCAGATTGTTGGCTAATAAAATGTATTCATTGACTACGGCCTACTCGTAATACGTATGTTGTCTATTGGCAAATGGATGCTGGCTCAACGTTACTATTACTTGTGAGAAAAATGCAATCTGCCAATGAAAAGGATGGTCATGCTTGGTGACTGTGTTTTTGCACTATATCACGTTTCTTGTGTGTGTTTCATTTGTAGGCATGGACCTTGTGTACTGCCGATTATGCACTGCTGTAGTGCGACTTAATTCATTATTTTATTCATGCATGCTGGTCTTGAACACAAACAAAAATTTAAAAAAAAGAAGTTTTTATATTTTAAGCGATGAGCTGAAATAACTACTAACACCCATTCATTTTTTTTTTATTCAGTTCTCCATAAAATGAACATACAGTCGAACCCCGCTACAATGAAATTAACGGGGCGCAGAAAAAAATGTCATTGTACTAAAATAGAAAAAATGTAGCTGATTTGAGGTAGCAAAACAAAGGAACGTTTATTCTCAAAATTCTGAAAATGTCCGCTGCTTTCTATTCTTTCCTAGCAGCGTCACAACGTGATTCTCAAGGCCATGGTGAAAAGCAAACTGAAACAATGCCTAAAACCGTCTTCGTGAATGAACCAAACAGTTGCATTAACACGTTGACACGAACAGCTGTCCGCCGTCGTAAGTATCCGACAACGCTGAGATGGAGGCAGGGTATCGTGGAGCGGTGACTTCTGCATTATTTTAAGCCATTCTTATCATCCAACACTCGCAGCTAGCTGATTTTGTTGATTATGTAGACGAACAGCCGCTCTGATTATTTACCACAGTCGCCAAGCGCGAACATAATAAGCATCGGAATCGGAAAAGGCAGCGTTCTGCGATTGTACCTAGGGCAAGGTTGTGTTTTGCGTTGCATAAGTTGTTGCCAGACTTGAGGGGTCAGTGCTGCCAGAATGTTGCGAGATTTGGCAGAGAAATTCGCTTTTGTAGTTGTGGCTTCTCCGTGAGGGTTTGGTGTCGTCCCCGGTGGATTTCGCGAGTGCATGAGCGACGCTGGCAGTTTTCATTAACAGAATGAACCGTGCCTTGCAGACATTGGGATGCGTTCTCTTGCTGTGTGTGCTGCTGTGCAATTGAGAGGCCGTTTTAATTAAAGGAACGAACCGCACCTTGCAGAAGTCTGGGTGCATTCTCTTGCTGTGTGCGCAGCTGTGCAATTAAGAGATCGCGTCTCACTGTTGGGGACAACGTGAAAAACTGGATGGAGTCGCACCAGGTGGTGTGACTAGAAGAATGATAGAAGTCGGAAAAGCCTTGGAGAGCATGAAAAGGGGCAAAGCTGCTGGTGAGGATCAGGCAACATCAGATCTGCTGAAAGATGGAGGACAGATTGTGTTAGAAAAACTAGCGGCCCTGTTTACGAGGTGTCTCCTGACGGGAAGAGTAACAGAATCTTCGAAGAATGCTAACATCATCCTTATACATAAGAAAGGAGATGACAAGGACTTGATTGATTTGTGGGGTTTAACGTCCCAAAACCACCATATGATTATGAGAGACGCCGTAGTGGAGGACTCCGGAAATTTCGACCGCCTGGGGTTCTTTAACGTGCGCCCAAATCTGAGCACACGGGCCTACAACATTTCTACCTCCATCAGAAATGCAGCCGCCGCAGCCGGGATTTTAACCCGCGACCTGCGGGTCAGCAGCCGAGTACCTTAGCCACTAGACCACCGCGGTGGGGCGATGACAAGGACTTGAAAAAT